TGGTCATGAAAAAGAATGGCAGTTTAAGGAGCTTCCGCAAAGGCTTGTCTTTTCAGAACTGTAAGCTGCATCTGTCTTGCAAGGCCCAGGAAATGAACCTTGTAGACCTCCAGAGTATTCCTCTGTGATTTATAAGCCTTAAGTAAATTAACATGTTGTACTTCTCCTCTCTAATTTATCTAGTATAAGAATGAATGACTGCAACAATTTCTAGAAGTTCTTATCAGTTGTTATTGATGTTAATAGGGGCTAAATTGCTAAATTTGCAAGTAGTCACTGGCATTGCTAGCTAAAGAAGCTGGAGAAACAGCTGACTCTTTGTATTAAGGTAATAATTAATTAATAAATAGCCCAAGTGAATTTTGGTAGCTAAATCTGTACTTATCCTTACTTGTGTGCTTCTTTACTTACTTAATAAAGTAACACACAAAAATATACACAGAGACACACATGCGATATTCTCAAATTGTTAAAAGTCTTTATATAATATTTAAGTCGGTAAAAGGGACAGATGGAGCGATGCCTAGGAAACCAGAGGGAGGGTGGACAGAGAGAGAAACACCATGACAAACATCAGACGAGTTCAGTGAGAGAGAGAAAGCGTTTGGCAATTGGAGAGGATTAGAGGATTATTAACGCAGCTGACTACACTGGAAGGCTCCATCAGCATCATCGTCGTCCTGTCTTTGGTTCTCTCGCTCCTTCCTTCCTCTGCCTGTTGTCTCAGCATCATCCATCAAAGCCGAGGGCATGTAGAAGTTGAGGAGCTAGCATGGATATATTTTGGTTCTTCAGCAGCAGAAGGGGTGAGTCAGGTATCCATCGTCAAAATAACTGATAAAAAATATCCCAATTGTTAAACTTTAACTTTATTGATCCTCTTTGTTCGCCGTCTTTATTTTCTTATTTTTTTACCATGAAAAATGTTTTATCTTGGAGATTGTTTTTTCCAAAATAAGCATTAGAAAACTACATGCTAACAAATAAAATAAAAATTGATACAGTAAAAAAATAGCAGTTTCATCAGACTGGCTGAATTCATTCATGATCTGATTATGCAGCTATATCTGGATGAGGCATGGAGAGACGAGATAAAGACGCATCCCTGTAGTCCTACAGCCTGTTAGGTAAAACTGTCCTTTGGAGATTTAAAGAAAAAAATGAAAAAAGTCATGTTTATCATGTCGTAGCTTTTCAGAACTTTTATGCTCATTGTTTTATTTTCTAAGAATACAAATTCAACTGTCATAAACTGTGCCTTCATTTGCAGGAGGCAGAATTGATATAATAAACTGTACAGTATACTGATGAGTACAGTGGAACAATTAACAGCTAATGATCCAAACATTTCTGTCAGGACAAGTAGGAACCCAAACAAACAAACAAAAAACCAGATAAAACTCGTTGTAAGTTTTTGTGTGCAACTTTACATTTGCTTCTCTTTTTTAAATTCACTCTGTTACGGTTCTCTTTTTTCTCGCCTCTATTCTTAAAGGTGCTTTATAAATATAGCTTACTACTTCCACAAAAGCCATAATTTCTTTGGTACTGTTTGCATGTGCGTTATTCTATCTTTAATAAAACCTGCGGATAGGGGTGTGGAGCGGGGTCATGTTAACAATACACGAAAATTCGTCTTTCATCAACCAAGGTCATGAAAGTGAACTCAGTGATTTATTGGCTGGAAAATTGGCAAAAAGCCTTAGAAACTATGATTCTTTCAAGTTTGGTGTGAATTATCAACATATAATATGTTATCGATATATAGTAAGTACTGTATAAAAATTTGAACTATCATGTCACATTTGACCTTTAAACTCCCCTTCAAGGTCAACAGACTGATCCTAATGCCAAAGCGATAATAATGATAATATAGGGCTTTTAAAACGATGCTTCCTACTGCCACTATATGAATTGACCACATACAGGCATATAGGGATACACAGGGATTCTCAATATCACATTATGGTTTGCGTCCATAACCTCTGACCTCACTTTGACATGTCACATCTGCCTTTTTTCCAAGTTGACCCCAAAATGTGTCACATGTTTAAAGAAAGCATTATCAGGAGAAATGAGCTGCCTAGTTAGTTACAAATATACTAACTAGCACACTCAAGTTATTCATGTCCAGTTATTTACAAATCAGCACATATTATCTATTGATCCTACATAATGCTTATATATAAAAAACAATACAATTCCCTTAAAAGTAAATGCTGTCCAGACACTGAGCTACCTTGGTGGAGGTTTGTGCTCTCGGAGTGCTTCTCCGTGGCAGCCTGAGCCACTCACAGCATGAATAAGGGAGAGCTGGATCAGGGGGTTTGTTTCACGAAGCTCACAGATATCTGTAAGCTTTATCAGTTAAAGAAAAGGATTTGAAGTTCATTTCTGGATTTAACAGCGAGCCAGTGAAGACTACACTATTATTAATACTGAGTATAGTATTAAATTCTGATATAGAAAATATATTCTGTTTCTTTCTATTGCCAGTTTCTTCGGCTGCTTTGACATGGACTACGAGGTTTGGGAAAAAGAACAGCAGAATTAAACTCCCGCCCTTCAGTGAGCTTTCTGCTTCTTAAAATCTCCTGACCCTCCTTCAGCTGTCCTGGGAAATATGAGTCTTCTTTCCTCGACACATCTCTTCTTCCTTCTTGCCATTTACTCCCTGCAGTCCCTTCTCCCATGTGTTCAGTGCTCAAAGTTGTGTCCACACAAGTGAATTTGTTATGAGCATGCTGACCTGGTGGACTGCCGCGACAGTGGGTTTGAGCACGTTCCCAGGGGCCTCCCACACGGCACGTGGCTGCTGGAGCTAGGAAGAAACAATATGAGTGTGATAGGCACTCAAGCCTTCAAAGGACTGTGGTCCTTGCGGGTGCTGGTGCTCACCAACAGCCAGATAGAGGAAATCCAACCACAGGTAAGAACAAAGTGGTGGAAAAACTATTTATGCATCTGAAAATGTTGCACAATTACAGTTGTACGGATAATACGAAGACATATTTTAGAGATTTAATATGTAACTAAAGCAAATTAGCACAAGCATAGAAAACACTCCAGGGTAACAAGTATGTTAGCTTAACTGGAGATCCCAAATTGGCATTAGGTGTGAATGTGAGTGTGGATGGTCGTCTGTGTCTAAGTGAAAGCTCTGAAACAGGCTGGTGCTGGTCCAGGATGTACCCTGCCTCTTTGCCTGTGACTGACTATCTGTCTGCAGCTCACAGATAGATAGAAAATAAATTGCAACTTTGTATTTGTATAGAAATCGACATATTAAAAAAAAATAATACTTTATATTTAAAAAACACATTTACAGAAAATAACAGAAATGAGAAACGAGAAATGAGAGACATGGACTGCAAGCAAATGTGTTTACCACTACATCACTGCCAGTTACTGATATGTCATATAAAAACTGGATCTGTCGCAGTCGCGCTGGCAGACCGTGGGGATGTGGGGAAATTAGAACCCAAATGCAGGGCTCTTCGATGGGGTGGCTGTAGCTCAGGAGGTAGAGCAGGTCACCTACTGATCGGAAGGTTGGTGGTTTGATCCTTGGCTCCTCCAGTTTGCATGTCAAGTATCCTTGGGCAAGATACTAACCCCAAGTTGCTCTCCGATGCGTCCATCGGAGTATGTGAATGTAGTTAAATTGCACTAAGTATAGATAAAGTGCTTGTGAGAATGGGTGTGATTGGGTGAATGTGGCATGTTGTATAGAGCGCTTTGAGTGCTCCGAGAGAGTAGAAAAGCGCTATATAAGAATCAGTCCATTTACCATTTACCATTCGATGCAAAGCAGTGCGTTTATTTACAGTGAAGTAAACTGACACAGTGCATTCCCGACTCCGTGCTGTATCCTCTTCCCAGAGTAGTGCTCAGTGTGTCTCCGCTCCTCAGTGTTCGAGCACCCCGTGCTCACTGCCCTCTCGACTCCACACTCCACCTGGGGAATAAGAAAAAGGCAGCTGTCAGAACACACCACAATTGCGGCAGACTAACCTTCTCTAACTGACAAAGAGACTAACGTGAAGTCACTCAATGATCCAGCGTTGAGAAGCACTCAGCCACACTGCTATGTAGCTCCCCTAACGATCCTTATCAGCTGCAGGTGTGTGTGTGTTCCTCCTCCTCGGGTGTGGCCAGCCTCCCAACAGGACACACCCACTAGGACTGGTGGTCCAGGAAAACCAGGACATCACACACACGCACACACATACACAATACAAAGGGAAACCAGGGGCACAAGAACCACACAAAATCACGGTACACACAGCAACAAATAAACAAGTTCAAAACTGCTCATGGACCCTGGGTCCTCAGACCCAGGTCCCTGACCATAGGAAAGTTGAAACAGCACAAGTAATTGATACTTTTTGTCTTTGAATAGGCATTTTTCTCATTGTCCTTTCTGGAGAAACTGGATCTCAGTTGGAACAAATTAAAAACTCTCCCTGTGGACTTCTCATCCAGTCTGCCTGCTCTCAAAGAACTGCGACTGCAGCACAACAACTTGCATTATCTATCTGGATACAGGTACATGGCTATCTGTGGGTCATCAGAGTGCCGTGAATCTCCATCTCAGTTTTCCATCAGCTTCCATATTTCTGTTTATCGTCTGGCTTAACAGGAATATGTTTAAAGTGATCCAAAAGACCAGGAGCTGTCTTACGCATGCCTCTCTTTTACATCCAGCGAATACAGTTACAGACAGCAGCATTCAGCACAGAGCTTCTCTCTGCCTGTCTCTCACAGTATCTTCTCACTGTCTCACGCTCTCGTTGTCTCTGCTGCCAGCCTGGAGTTTCTGGACAACATGGAAAAGCTGGACCTGAGTCATAACAAACTGGTGTCTGTTGGCCCCGGCGTGTTCCGAGGCCTCTCCCGGCTCAGACAACTCTATCTACACAACAACAAACTGACTGTGGTGCAGCATGGGAGCCTGGACATGCTGCCTGGACTGGAGGTGAACAGACTTTTATTTAAATGGGTAAATAAAGAGGTACCTCAAAGTTTTTTTTTGATTGCGGACTGTTGTAGCTTTAGCCTCTAAAAAGGATAATAATGTAAATGAATCTTATTTCAGGTCTTAATTCATCTGTACGTAAGACAGCTAGTGTTTTGGTACACTGAATAATGATTAGTTTGAAATTCATCATTAGTTATAAAGTATAAAGTACTATGATATGGCTACCTATTAATGCACACTTTAATATGCTGCTTTGGAAGAATTGTCTAATTATTGTAAGAAGAAGTGGCTCAAAAACAGATCCCTGTGGCACACCATTTTTGATGACTTCACTTTTCTGTATGTCTGCCTTTCTAATTAGTACCTATTTGTCTGTCTTCCTAGGTACTCCAGCTGAGCAACAACAACATCTCTCAGATAGATACTGGTGCCCTGGCACCTCTGTACAGCCTGGCTGTTCTTGATCTGGAGGGAAACAACCTGCATAACCTCAAATTTAAGACCTTCATCAGCCTTCATACAACAGCAACACACATACAGCTGTCAGGTCTGCAGAAATACTTTAATTTTATTTCATTCATTTTTCTCCATGTCAGAAACTGACGGAACAGACTGAAATATGTTTAAAACGTTTGGACTGATTATCATGCAATATAAAATAGATGATGTTGATCAACACCCCCTCTTCTACAATCAAGTTCTGACTCAACACTCTGACACACAATTTTAAGGTTTGCATTCTTTGTTTAATTGAACTCTGTATACCTGCCTTCCTTCTTTCCCTGCCAGGGAACCCTTGGAGCTGTGACTGTGAGCTGCATCGTGTTTTCAGTAAGATCCTACACGTCCGGCACCTCCACATTGACGACTACCACAACGTGACATGCCAGGACCCTCCGCAGCTGTTGGGGGCTTCATTGGCCTGGGTAGACAGCCAACTCTGCGTGGCTGAGACCGCTACTGTACTCGTCATCACTGTCACTGTGTTTGTCACCGTGGTGGCTGCTGTGGTGATGGCGGAAAGGAACAGGAAGAGGAACCGAGGGAAGAACTGGGACACCGAGTCGCAGACGCAAACTCAGAGCCCTCCATCCTGAGGCAAAATTAGTGAGAGGATAAGCAGATGTTTCTGGCTCCTCTAGTTACAAAAATGCTTTTAGCACACACTTCCTGACTGCTGCCACAAATGGATAGTACTTGATTTCTTTTTCCTTGCAAAAAAGTGAAAAACAGAGTTGGAATTAAAACTGAAGAAGAGCTGGAGTATCTGTTCAAATTTAATATTGCAGCTGTGATCTGCTGCTACCAGTGAACTGCTGTAAAAATGTGGTTCTTTCGATGAATTTTTAAGAACGACCATTGTCAGCAATGGGATTTTTCACAATAAAAGCCATACTTTGGTAAAGGCCAAAGGCCATTACATATAATGTGGAGTTCGAAGAGTAAAAAAATGTCTGACTTGTGTTAACAGTTGCCGAGGTTTCATTCACCTGTAGTCTCTTGAAGTCACCAAATGTCAGATTGACTGTCTACGGTCTCTTGTCACCACATCACTGTGAATCGCTCCCTGTGTGGATACAGCTGAATCGTCTGTTCACACATAATCTGACTTCTGTTGTGCTTTCTTTCTTTCCTTTCACTGATCTTGTTTCCACCTATTATATAATACCTACGAGCTTTTCCTTAATCACACGGGATCACCACAGCAGGCAGCTGTGGTAGACGTTTAATTTAGCAGGTTTTTACACCCTTTCTTATGCAACACCCAAGGGAAGTCTGTTCACTCACAAAACACATCTTTGCATGTGTGTAACTCATAATGTAAAATAGAAAATTGCAAATAAATTATTTAATATTTAATAGAAGGTTTCTTGAATATACTCTTTGTTCTTTGTAGTTTATCACCATAGAAGGCCTAGGAATGTCTGAACCTATTGATTGACAGTCAGACCGAGAGTCAGCAATAGAGACAGAGGGGGTCATGAGGACCATATGTGTCTGTACTCCACAGGGGATTAGTGCAGGACTGATGGAGGGAAAGAGAACAGAGAAGGGCAAAGTCCCACAGAGGTCAAAGATGTCAAGATGATTACTGCTGATCTGGAATACAGTTATTAACTGTGAGTGTGAGTGTGAGTGTGAGTGTGTGTGTGTGTGTGTGTGTGTTGGAGGTATTAAACAGGCAGAGAAAGAAAGCCGTCTGGCCTCCAGCAGTAGACTGCCCTCCTTTCATCCATCTCTTCTTTAATTGTTGTGTTTTTCTGTCCTTTTGAAAAATCTTTTAGTAATGAAACTCTTAGGACCAGTGTTGGGAACTTTGTCACAGTTTAATTGTTTCCAGCAAACAGGGTTGAAACCCAAACCTCACCTCTGATTAAAGCTCATCGTGGTACTGTGCCAAAAACAGAATGGTGGACAGATGGATGTCAGTCTTATTTCCGAGCAGAGTAGAGGTTTGGTTTGACTGCGTCTTACAACTCGAGAAATACAAATCAGATTATTGCAAAGAAGGATTAAAGTGTTCACCTTTGTTTTTTCTCAAACAACAACAACTAATATGCGTAGAACTGATTATGATCAGACGTCAGTCTGCTCCATGTACACAGACTAGTATTACTGGAGCCTGTTTTAGGGAAAAAAAATGACACTGTGAAGCTATTAATGATTTGATATTTCTAAATTCTGCATCATGTGATTATGCTCGCTCTGTCTGAGATGTCAGCATCATAAACTCAGGAATGCTGCTGCTCTTATGTACGGTTAGTTAGTTTAACAAGATAAGAAGTGGGCCGAACACTGTTTGAAACATCAGATATCTGCTCGTTCTTTCTATTGAGAAACGTTAAAATGTTTTACATTTTGTTTATTCTCATTACCAAATAGATAATAGAAAACAGTTACTGAAAACAAATTCTCAGTGATATTGAAAATATATGTCAAACTGACACTGTGATAATGTCCCTAGTGTCATTTCATCTTTAATTTTAGTAATATTTTTCAATATGTTTGCTACGGTACAGCTTTAATTTCAAAATAAGAAATTTGGGTTTAATAAGCAGCTAGCCCCACAGTTTGGTCTACTGATCCAGCACTGAGCTTATCGTTAGCCTCTGTGACTGTACTGCTCTCTACAAATATTCAGTGGACTTAGACTGATAATAATGGATAATAGTTATTAATAATATTGAGCAAGCTAAAGTGGAACCAGACCAGTTTGGAGTTAGCAGAACATGAATTTCTACATGCTAACTGCTCGCACTTCAAAACAAGCGAATGTTTAGCTGCTAAGTGGGCGACAGCAATTTAGTTTTTCTGAATTATTCTTAACTGAACCGAGCCCAGGCATGTTTACTCTGTTTATTCTTTGAAACACTCAGATCATGACAAATGCACTGCAGTATTTTCCAAATTCCAAAGAAAAGAACAGCTTTTTCACCCTTCTTCTTCTTCTTCTTCTTTTTTTTAATATAGCGCCAAATCACAACAAAAGTCGCCTCAAGGCGCTTCATATGGTCTTATTGAATAAAACACGATGTTCACAAAGAAATAATTTTTCTGAATTTGAATTCTTTTGAATAAGTAATGGAAGCTCTGTAGGAGCTGTCTAATGTCTGATATATGGTGCTTTGTTTAGCTGTGTGGAGGGTTTTCAACAGTGCAGTGAATGGGGCGCTATTTATAAAGTTTAGTTTCTCTTTATACAGCCATGGTTATAGACCAAACTGTCTGCTTACATACACATTATTCCAAATATCACCCCACCATCTAACCCCTGATAACAATTAAAAACACTGGTGACTGCCCGTGCTACCCCACAGCCTCCTTGTAGATGGACTCGTGTTGTTTTTCCTGCGCATCACTGCCACCGCTGATCAAGTCAAACTCCAAGAGTGTTATGTTAAAAATTTAATAAATAAAGAGTGAATATGCAGTTATTAGCCCATTCGCTGTAGACCTGTAAAATCTAGAGCAATGACCTGATGAACCGACGTCATACAGTCAACCTCTCTTTGACTTTTAGGTAACAGGTTTTAAAGCTGGAACAATAGGGATTAGAGTGAGATTCACTCCACATCTGTCTGACAGAAAGGACGTGGCAGAGTGAATTTTGGGAGCTAATGATGATGTTTTATCTGCTGGATGACAGCTGCATTTAAAATGACATTCTAGGTGAATAGGATGTTCCTAATGTTCACTTCAATTCAATTTTATTTATACAGCACAAAAATCACAAGAAAAGTGTCTCAAGGTGCTTTATATTGTAAGGCAGACCCTACAATAATACATAGAATATTGTAGGGTCTGCCTACATTATTGGACTGAATGAAACAAAATCAATACTTCAATTAATACAACTCTCTGTGGGAGGGAGTGGAGTAGGCATTGCTGTACACATAGAGTTGCAGCAGTCCAGCAAAGGCGTGATAGCTGTTTCCAGGTCCCTAAAATGTTGTGTTTGGTGTGATTTTGTTCAATTTCTGCTTCCATTGTATTTTTTATGGAAACACAATGAATACACTTTGTGCTGTGTGTAACAGTTCATATGATATATGAAGCTTAGTTATTTCCAGCTGTGCTCCACCCTCCTAGAAGCACATGTAAGTGTATGGGTAGATTCATTCAGTTAGGTGATACTAGCAGAATTCATCTTGTGGGTTTTTAATGTAAACTATGTTGTTGAGGATAACAGACTAATATGTATTAAAGAAAGTGACTCAATGTCAGTGTAGGAAGCCTAGGTGCAGACGAGCCTCGTACAGACACGAACCCAAAATCAATCGTCTTCTCTGGCATGCTGCTGGCAAGTGAGGGTGTGTCCATGATGGGAGTGAAGTATAGCTCATGCCCTTCTGGGTAGCAACAAGCTGACCGGCTCTGCAGCCCGGAGCATCACTCTGTCTCTGTTAGCCATCGCTCTGCGGCTCTGCTGGATCCTCCTGGATTAATCGTGGCAATCGTGTCTGCATTTATTTTAGTGTAATTTTCTGGAGCTTGATAGCTTTTCTTCTTTAAGAAACATTTTAATATTTAAGATTCACTTTGTTCCTTCATCCCCAAATGTGCCAATAAAATCAATCATGTTCATTTTGACTCATTAAAACATTTGAAAACTATTTGTGCTGATTTTTGTTTTATGTGTTAAACGTACCGTCTATTGTAGCCCTTGATGTAGTGGCATGGTTTGCCCAGCAGATGGAGACACTGATATAGCGCAGATGCATCCTATGCATGGCTGTATGACGTTATTCTTTAATTAAAAGACCAGCAGGCCTGGGTGTGTTGCTCTCAGGAACACTAGCACTCTCTGATTAAGGTAAAAATATTTATAATTTATTAATGTACAGCTTGTTTCATTTCCCATCGGTCACAGCTGATAGATGAACACAGCACTGAAGTTGTTCCTGAGTTGTTCCTACACTAAGGCTGAAAAAATAAACAGTTTAGAAGCATTTAATAAGCTGTAGAAAAACACATATATGATCATGGATCTCCTCAAACCCCTTCAAACTTACTGTAATTACATAACTTGTGTTTTATTGAAACCCAAATGTAGTTTTATACTTTTTTATTTCAGTGTTTAATCTGATTAAATCTCTTGCACCCTCTGATAATGCATTCCACATTTTGATCTTGTAACTCTGGTTTAAATAATAAAACTGTTTCTCGAGTATCTTATCATTCGGGCTAATTAACATTTTTCTGTAGTATCTCACTATTTTAAATACATTTTCTCATCATGACCTGGTTAGCGTCATGTTATACACAAAAGCAAGATGTCTCTGCGGGACAAGTTCTAAGAGGTTAAAACCCAGTAAGGGTGCAAACCTTTCATAAAACAACAGGTTTCCATGTTTAACATCTTTCTTTAATTGTGACTGAGTCTGATGTGAATCACTGAGTCTGAGAGGCCACACCTCTAATTTTCAGTCCACAGGACTGAATCAAAAACCTATTTTAATCAGGTTTATTTAAACGACTGAACTATTATGAATCTATAAACACTCCCTCAAAACTCTAAATGTAGTAACCTGAGCATGTTCATAAAAAGAGTGTTGAACTGTGATAAGTTTTGTAATTTTACACATCTGCTACTCTTCTGACAGATAAAACACAGTAATAATGATTTTATTACAAAGCACTTTGGTGGCCAGTAAGAGTAAAAATAGCACAAAGTGAATACCATCCCAGTGTCGTACTTAAACTACAATCATATTTAAACTGGAAAAGCACCTCAGAGTGTGAATTCTTAAAGCACATTTTAATGTATTTTTTTAATATAAATCTTTACCAACAGCCGCCTCCTGCATCTACAGGCAGCGTGTTTGAGTTCAGTCTTTCTCACGCAGTCTAAAAATGTGAGCAATTATCAGGTGAAAGAGGCAGATCCCAGTTTTAATGGTAAATCTCACTTTCAGATAGAGACAGCTCTTATATGAAGGATGTGACGTGTAGGGAAAATAAAATAGACTAGTTAACATATCACCATGAAACACGCCTTCGTCTGATAATGCAGACTAAGGGGAAATATGAGGTTGTTCTTTATTGAATTAAATGAGCTGTTTTTTTCCAGCCCTGGGCTGAGTTGGATTAACCAAAGAAAGTGGATGGACAGATGTCAGCTTTATGTACTAATAGGAAGTCAAGCCCCCAAAAACGATTTATTATATTATAGTTTTATTATAATCATTGTAGTTTATTGTTACCTTCTTGTTATGTAATGCTGTTATGAGCATTAAAGGATTATGGTGAGTACTCTTAACTCAGCTTGAGGAGATCAAAACCCTGTTGTGATATAAACATCCTCTGATTAGGAAAAAGGAAATGAGCACTTTATTGTGCTTGATAGTTCTGATGAACTTACGTGACCTCAAACTCTAAATAAAAGGCTGCAGTTATGCACACAGAGCAGCTGCCGTCTCCAGCGTAGCTTCAGTTGACACAGTTAGCGTGCTTCGTGCAGCGCTGCAGAGCGGGGAGCTGGTGCACAGGTGCGTGTTAATGCTTGTGAAGGTTGCGGTGAAGCGGAAGTCTGCACCTCTGAAGCTTCTCAGCAAGCTGCCGCTCGCTCGTCTCACTCTGTGACCACATCCTGTGCTCTGCTGTTGCTCTCAACGCCTCCGTAAGCTGTCATGACCTGGTTTGTTCCTCACGAAACAACAGCTTCAACCTCCTTCTCTGGAGAGAGGAGAGTATTGATTTCCTGTTCCTACGAGCTGTGGTTGACTCACATTTTACACACATACTTCAATATGTATAACCCTCCACCTGCTGTGAAAAAAACACAACTTTACTCACTGAGAATGGAAAAAGTGAATCTTGAGCAGGTTTTACAGACATGTTTTGTTTTGCTCAGGGGAACATGTCACAGTAAAATGTTTTTGAGTTGGAGTTCATAGAAAATGGAAAATATAAGGGCGAGTTCTCAGAAACCCAACAGATAACAGGCTGCTAAAAATAGCTTCCTGCTAGCCATGCAGTGTAGTGAATAATACCTGAAACTGAACCTGATGAGTATACTGTATGTTGTACTGTCAGGCAGAACTGCCTCAGACTCATATATGAAAGAAATAAACAGTTGTGTGTTTAAGGAGTACTTTTATTAAGAAGCAAACTGAGCACAAAGCACTTACACAAACTAACAGAATAATAACCAATAACTGCACAGGATGTCCACTTATTTATATACTAAATGGAAGAAAGTCAAATGGAAAGCAAAGCTTTAGGATACTGTGAATGTTTTTGTTTTCACAGAAAGCAGCTCAGTCGTTCAGCTCAGCTCTCATTTCTCCGGTTTTCTTGAAAACCCCTGTGAAGACAGGAAACACGTTTTCAGTTTACAGAGTCGCTCTTTAAACAAAGGTTTAAACGTAAAGCCTCACGTCTTCAGTGAGTCTTCACTAAATAAACTGACTATAAAGAAGGCAAGCGTCACCTTCCTACTAATGTTTAATTATCAATCAAGCACAAAGAAATTCAGAAATGACGTGGATGTGAAGCAGTTTTCTTGGATACACTAAATGATAACTATAAGAAATCATTTTCAGAGCTTCTGTGGTAATAATGAACGCTTTGTCAGAGTTTTTAAATGTATATTACCATCCACCAGTGCTGAGATTACTGAGAAATATTATTATACTAATTTTAAAAGTGATTGATTGAGATATTTAATGAAATGGGGATTACTGAAATATGGTCATTGAGAATCTATAAATCTATAAACTTCAAACAACATCAACAACAAAACCCCTCCCTTGTTATTTTAAATGATACCTTTATATTCATTAGTCTGTATCTCATCAGCTTTTAAAATGTTTTCAATAGGTTTTAATTGTTGAGTGATAGTTGCTAAGAAAAAAGACATATTCAAGAAAAACAGGCTGACTGAGTCGTGTTTTTACGGCGGTCTAACAAATCGATCCTGCATTACATTTAGATTCAGTTTCAGACAGGTTCCTTTGGAGGAAGAAGCACGTGGTGCTGTTAAATTATGTTTCATATAACGAGCACTGCTCATGGCACAAACAGGAGCTGGATCGTTTTGGACCAACCTGAAATTTCCACACCAGGATGATCACAAAGAGTCCGTAGATGCTGCTCTTGATGATCAAAACCAGATATGACAGCTTGGCATTGTGGGTGATCTTCAGATACTTGTCTGCACAAAATTGTAAGATTTGTATTATTTTCCCAGCTCAGTATAGAGCAGACACACTGAGTTATTATTATTAATAATATTATTAATAATATTTACTTCTTATTGCTGCAGCTCCTGGATCTAAGAAAAAGAAAAACGATTTCTTTCAGTGAAATCAAGTCAAACTATTTCAGATGATTTTGACACATTTAAAGATTGTAAACGAACGTACTTCGAATGCCTGCGACCGAGCCCACAGAACGAACCGTCTGTTCCCCGTCAAAGAAGCTGACGGTGCAGGTGAAATTCTTGCCTGGTTTGAACCACTGTGAAAACAAGACTCTCAGCCTGCTTGTGATGCGGTAGCGTGAACCATTCCAGTGGGCAGAGTGATCGGTGGCGACGCCATCGTTGACGTCCACCCCATCAATCTGCCAGGACACATTCACATGGTCCGGATAGAAATCAGAGGCCACGCACAGCAAGGTCTTCTTGTTTTTCTTGTGTTTTTCATTTTGACACTCCTTTGTTGAAGGTTTAAACACTTTCACCTTTGGTGGCTTAACTGTTATATTTGGTGCTGTGGGACAAAGAGAATCGAATCATTAGAATGCAAACAGACTCATTGTTCCCATTTTGAATACCCAAAGATAAAAAAAGTAACACTTGTTAAAAAAAACCCTGCTTCGTCATTTTCTTTTGGACTTTTGGATCTTTTGGAAAAACAGCAGGTGATTACTGGGTAAAAAGAAAGTAAAATGAAATAAATATGGTGTAAGGTGTTAATATGTAAGCTTCTGATGCCACATCTCTTTTTTTCTTTTTTCCAAAATGCCAAATATCCAAAATATCTTAGATATAGAAGACATTTGAAATAAATTTCATGGCACATTGTTTTAAATCCACACCAACGTGTTTATAACTTTGTGATTCTGTCTACACCCAAGTATGAAAAACGACATTCAAACTTTTTACAGCCCTAAACTTACATTAGAACTTCTCAGAGGTTCTCGGCAGTGCAAAAAAAATCAAAACATGCATAAGGTTTCTTACCCAAAACTGTCAGTTTGGTGCCAGTACCAAAGTAAGCAGGGTTGTAGTTTGCCACACTGATATGCAGTGTAGTAAAAATTGTTTGTGCTATCAACAGCTGGAAATGATCTTTTTTTTCTCTTTATGAAAAATTCTAATTTCTCCAAATTTACTCTTCATAACAAAACCGAATTAGACAGATTTTAGGTTTTAGACAAAGTCAGGAACCTTAAATGATGCTACAGTAACTCAACTTACTTACAATTAGGTTTTAATTTATGGACTATTGCATGATAAAATACATTTGTGCCTGTTAAAATGTTCTATTTTTGCACCTTACCTGAAACTGGGAGTTTAGTTCCCAAAGCGAGCCTCGGACTGGGAATACGCAGTCGCTCACAGAGCTGATCAGAATAGCCACAGATAATCTGGGCAATGAGCCAATTCTTTTATAGCTGCAGCACTTATATAATCAGCACTGACACAAGACTAACTTTGTGCTTTAATAGCTTTCACTTTTTAAAAACAGCTTGAATATGTTTATGGCTGATTAATAAAACCACCCAAAAAGCGAAGCACACTTATCACACATTATTTCTATCATATTAAGACGTGT